AAGGAAAGAGTCAAGCTGAACAGCAGATAATATCAGCTCCTCAGTGTCCCCTAGACAGTCTCACCTCCTTTCCTGTCACAGGAAGAGGCTGGTGTCTCCATCCCTGCAGCTCTCTAGGGCTGGCACCATGAGAAGGCTGCACCTGGTGGCAGTCCACGAGTCCCTAAAGCAGTGGCACATAAATATAAGGACAGTCCTGAAATTGTGCATAGCATTCTCTCCAAAAGCCATTTGTACCTTACATGATGACCTTTTTTTTTCCCTCTTACAGAAAAAATCAAGGACCTATTTCCTATTAAAACTATTGACCAAAACACCAGACTGGTTCTGGTGAACGCAGTCTACTTCAAAGGGCGGTGGGATGAGGAATTTAAAAAGGAATTGACCACAGAAGCAAAGTTCTGGCAGAATAAGGTATTGCATGTGGAAAGTTAAACTTAGAGGCATCTGATGGGATGGACCACTAAAGTAGACAGTGCCGTGAACAAGAAGATATTGTTTTGTTTTATTCTTAAAAGTTTAGTTAGTTAGTAATGCCTGCAAAAACTAGTAACTTCTGTCTTTATTTCTCAAACTTCCTGAGTTGTTTCTCCAAAAGAGAGGGATGTGTTTGTCTAACTTAGTATTTAATATTATCTTTTTGTCTAACTTGGTATTTATTTGATTCCTTAATTTATTGTAGAATGTGAGCAAATCTGTGCAGATGATGGCCAAAAGCGGGCATTTTAATTTTGCCTTCCTGGAGGACGTGCAGGCCAAGATCCTGGAAATACCATACAAAGGCAATGACCTGAGCATGGTCCTGCTGCTGCCCAATGACGCAGATGGCCTGCAGGAGGTAAAATTGACCTTTCTTCCTTCTATTGCCTGATTTTGTCCCCCATGGTAACTGTTTAAGTCTAAACAAGACAAACACTTTGAGGCCAAGGTGCCTAGAATAATAAAAAGTTCAAAACAAGGAACGATGACTCAGTCACTGAATCAGATGGCATACACCTGTAAGCAGCAACTCAGGAGGCCAAGAAAGGAGGATGACAAGTTTGAGGCCAACCTCAACAACTTAGTGAGATCCTCAGCAATTTATATGAGACCCTGTCTCAAAATAAAAAAGTAAAAAGGGCTGCAGATATAGCTCCATGTTTAAGTGCCCCTGGGTTCAATCCCAGTATATCCTTACATTATAAATAGTTTAGTTTACAGCCTGACACAGGCTAAATTTATTATCATTTAAGTAGAGCTATACACATTAAATATCAGTTTGATGGCAACAAGCAAC